TCTAGTCTATAGTCTAGTCTATAGTCTAGTCTATAGTCTAGTCTATAGTCTAGTCTATAGTCTAGTCTATAGTCTAGTCTATAGTCTAGTCTATAGTCTAGTCTATAGTCTAGTCTATAGTCTAGTCTATAGTCTAGTCTATAGTCTAGTCTATAGTTTAGTTTGTAGTCTAGTCTATAGTCTAGTCTATAGTCTAGTCTATAGTCTAGTCTATAGTCTAGTCTATAGTCTAGTCTATAGTCTAGTCTATAGTCTAGTTTTATAGTCTAATCTATAGTCTAGTCTATAGTATAGTCTATAGTCTAGTCTATAGTCTAGTCTATAGTCTAGTCTATAGTCTAGTCTATAGTCTAGTCTATAGTCTAGTTTAGTCTATAAAGTTTAAATAACCTAAAACAGCTCTATGGATTACCCTAATCCACATACGTTAACAACAAATACTATTTCGTTGGTATTAATTTACATTTGAATAATTTAAATACAAATCTTATATTATTTACCCATATCAACCATAACAAACTAAGTATTGTAAATAATTTAACATTAATTAGTATAATTTTTAATTTATTTCAAATTATAATTATTAATCACTTTATTAGAAATCAGAAAAATAACTACAAACAAAAGCTAAATATTTTCATAAATTATCAAGACACATTAAAAAATGCAACATAATATTTTACCACTGAATTAAAAATGTTTTTGTTTTAATATTTTAACAAAATGTTTAAAATTAAATTTTAATAGCATTTTTCTTAGAAAACTCAGAAAAAAATGTTCATCAAAAATATAATTTGCTTTTAAACCATATGTGTGCAACATTACGCCTGGCTGGTATTTTATTACCAAATTTATTTAAATTTTTTTATTTTTTAGAATTTTATTATTTGAAAATATTAATTTGAAAATGTTTTTGTAAATTTGGTATTTATTTTGTTTGGATTTTCTTCGAATCTATGGCGTTGCTGTCAACAAATGTGTTTTTGTTTCTGTTCATTAATGATTTGATGAAAAAGTAAGAAAGAAAAAAAATTAATGTTCCATTGCTTGAATGGGCAGCAGAAAATGAGTAAGAAACTCAGGGTCAACAAATTACAAAAAAACGAATATGTGATCAATGATCAAACAATTATTATGAGTCAACTATGGAGGATGTTGTTTTTGACTGTGTGGCAAAAAAAAAAAAAAAAAAACAATGTTTGGCAGAGAGTTGCTCAAATTTTTTTAGGGTAATGCTATGTTTCATGAAACAGTTATTAAAAATTCACTATCTCGTACGTAATTCAAACCCCAAATACGAACCGAATGACATGTTTGGCATTTTAAAGTTTCAAGTCCAGTCATTATTATTTTATGAATTAGGGAGGAATGAGTGTCGTCGATTTGACCAGAACGCCTAAAGCGAAGAGAATGTTAACTAAAAGCTGATGTACGGAGACTATAATAAGGATAAGATTTCGTGCAGATAGACTAGACTATAGACTAGAGTATAGACAAGACTATAGACTAGACTATAGACTAGACTATAGACTAGACTATAGACTAGACTATAGACTAGACTATAGACTAGACTATAGACTAGACTATAGACTAGACTATAGACTAGACTATAGACTAGACTATAGACTAGACTATAGACTAGACTATACTAAAGACTAGACTATAGACTAGACTATAGACTAGACTATAGACTAGACTATAGACTAGACTATAGACTAGACTATAGACTAGACTATAGACTAGTCTATAGACTATAGACTAGAATATATTCTATGGACTAGAATATATACCATACTATAGACTAGACTATAGACTAGACTATAGACTAGACTATAGACTAGACTATAGACTAGACTATAGACTAGACTATAGACTAGACTATAGACTAGACTATAGACTAGACTATAGACTAGACTATAGACTAAACTATAGACTAGACTATAGACTAGACTATAGACTAGACTATAGACTAGACTATAGACTAGACTATAGACTAGACTATAGACTAGACTATAGACTAGACTATAGACTAGACTATAGACTAGACTATAGACTAGACTATAGACTAGACTATAGACTAGACTATAGACTAGACTATAGACTAGACTATAGACTAGACTATAGACTAGACTATAGACTAGACTATAGACTAGACTATAGACTAGACTATAGACTAGACTATAGACTAGACTATAGACTAGACTATAGACTATAGACTAGACTATAGACTAGACTATAGACTAGACTATAGACTAGACTATAGACTAGACTATAGACTAGACTATACTAGACTATAGACTAGACTATAGTCTAGTCTATAGACTATATAGACTAGACTATAGTCTAGTCTATAGTCTAGTCTATAGTCTAGTCTATAGTCTAGTCTATAGTCTAGTCTATAGTCTAGTCTATAGTCTAGTCTATAGTCTAGTCTATAGTCTAGTCTATAGTCTAGTCTATAGTCTAGTCTATAGTCTAGTCTATAGTCTAGTCTATAGTCTAGTCTATAGTCTAGTCTATAGTCTAGTCTATAGTCTAGTCTATAGTCTAGTCTATAGTCTAGTCTATAGTCTAGTCTATAGTCTAGTCTATAGTATGGTATATATTCTAGTCCATAGAATATATTCTAGTCTATAGTCTATAGACTAGTCTATAGTCTAGTCTATAGTCTAGTCTATAGTCTAGCCTATAGTCTAGTCTATAGTCTAGTCTATAGTCTAGTCTATAGTCTAGCCTATAGTCTAGTCTATAGTCTAGTCTATAGTCTAGTCTATAGTCTAGTCTATAGTCTAGTCTATAGTCTAGTCTATAGTCTAGTCTAAGTCTAGTCTATAGTCTAGTCTATAGTCTAGTCTATAGTCTAGTCTATAGTCTAGTCTATAGTCTAGTCTATAGTCTAGTCTATAGTCTAGTCTATAGTCTAGTCTATAGTCTAGTCTATAGTCTAGTATAGTCTAGTTTGTAGTCTAGTCTATAGTTTAGTTTGTTAGTATAGTCTAGTCTATAGTCTAGTCTATAGTCTAGTCTATAGTCTAGTCTATAGTCTAGTCTATAGTCTAGTCTATAGTCTAGTCTAGTCTAGTCTATAGTCTAGTCTATAGTCTAGTCTATAGTCTAGTCTATAGTCTAGTCTATAGTCTAGTCTATAGTCTAGTCTATAGTCTAGTCTATAGTCTAGTCTATAGTCTAGTCTATAGTCTAGTCTATAGTCTAGTCTATAGTCTAGTCTATAGTCTAGTCTATAGTCTAGTCTATAGTCTAGTCTATAGTCTAGTCTATAGTCTAGTCTATAGTCTAGTCTATAGTCTAGTCTATAGTCTAGTCTATAGTCTAGTCTATAGTCTAGTCTATAGTCTAGTCTATAGTCTAGTCTATAGTCTAGTCTAGTCTAGTCTATAGTCTAGCTATAGTCTAGTCTATAGTCTAGTCTATAGTCTAGTCTATTAGTCTAGTCTATTGTCTAGTCTATAGTCTAGTCTCTAGTCTAGTCTATAGTCTAGTCTATAGTCTAGTCCTATAGTCTAGTCTATAGTCTAGTCTATAGTCTAGTCTATAGTCTAGTCTATAGTCTAGTCTATAGTCTAGTCTATAGTCTAGTCTATAGTCTAGTCTATAGTCTAGTCTATAGTCTAGTCTATAGTCTAGTCTATAGTCTAGTCTATAGTCTAGAGACTAGACTAATAGACTATAGTCTAGAGACTAGACTAATAGTCTAGTCTATAGTCTAGAGACTAGACTATAGACTAGACTATAGACTAGACTATAGACTAGACTATAGACTAGACTATAGACTAGACTATAGACTAGACTATAGACTAGACTATAGACTAGACTATAGACTAGACTATAGACTAGACTATAGACTAGACTATAGACTAGACTATAGACTAGACTATAGACTAGACTATAGACTAGACTATAGACTAGACTATAGACTAGACTATAGACTAGACTATAGACTAGACTATAGACTAGACTATAGACTAGACTATAGACTAGACTATAGACTAGACTATAGACTAGACTATAGACTAGACTATAGACTAGACTATAGACTAGACTATAGACTAGACTATAGACTAGACTATAGACTAGACTATAGACTAGACTATAGACTAGACTATAGACTAGACTATAGACTAGACTATAGACTAGACTATAGACTAGACTATAGACTAGACTATAGACTAGACTATAGACTAGACTATAGACTAGACTATAGACTAGACTTTAGAGTAGATTATAGACTATGCTGGACTACAAACTAGTCTGGACTATAGACTAAAATGGACTACAGATTAGACTATAGCCTTTACTATAGGCAAGATTCTAGAATAGATTTAGACTATGCTTTAGGCTAGGTCTTAGGTCTTCAGTTTGTCTTTTTATTGGGTTAGTGAATAAACGCATTTCCGGTTGACAAACAAATAAATATTGACAAATACCGTCAAGTGGCGTATCTTTGGTTCTGTTTTACGCTAGAAAATGCTTAGATGATTGCAATAAACAACATAAGGTATACAGAAATATATTTTTAAAACAAAACTATTTAATCGAATTAAAAAAAAAAACCAAATGATAAACAAACAAGCTAATTTTCAGTATAACGAAAATGAAAATGTAAAAAAGAAAATCTCAGAAAAATTATAATAGTTAGAAAAATAATGGCTAAAAGCCAAAATTATCTAAACAAATTTTTAATGTAAATAAATAAGTACACACTAACCGAAGACGAATGAATACAAAAGGAATATCTATTGAATTTTAAAATAAAAAACATTAAATGAAAAATCTCAAAAGAAAAATTTGTTTGTGTAGTTTTGTGGTACAATGTTCGGTACGATAGAAAAAAAAATGAAGAAAATTCAAAAATCAAAAAGAGAGGTGAAACTCAAAGAATTGTGAAGAACACAAAATGCAAAACTAATTGAGAGATAGAGGAAAAGGAAAAATTTCGAAAGCAAAACATTGATATTCGAAAATAATTTTTGTGCTTTTTCTGAATTTTCCTAAAGTTTTCTTTAGTTGAGAGAAAACCGTCGCTTGGTTAACGTCGCTTTTTTTTAGTAAGAAAAAAATCTTAGTTTTTTCCCAAAACGAATTTCTTTTAGCAACAACGATCAAAGTTCTTTTAATTTTCTAAACGTTTAATTTTAAAAAAATTAAAATAATAACAAACTGCTAAAAAGTTAAGCGATTGGACGAAATTTGAGCCAATTTAACGATCGATATTTAGGAGAGCTTTAATAAGAAGTGTGTAATTTGAAAATAAATAATGAATATAAGAATTAAAAAATAAAAACAGAAAACTAATTTAAAAAATTTGCACTGCATATGATTTTGAAAAAAAAACAAACAAAATATTTTATTAACAAGTGCTTTCAATTTCATTTCGCAATCTCAATATTTAGAAAAATTCTGTACATGAAATTATTTTGAAGGTTATCTTTCATTACGAAACCGAAAAAACAACAACTACAATAATACAAACAAATTTATTAAAAAAAAAAGAAAGAAAATTCTATTATAAATCTCAGTGCTAATTTTATATGAACGTTTAATTTTTTTTTTATTTTCGAGAAAAACAAATACAACCACAAAGAAACAAAATCTTTTTTTAACAACCACCCACTTTTCTTAATTTTTTTTCTTGATTTTTTTTTGCAACAACTACAACAAATAATCATCATTATCATCTTTAAAATTTTGAGTTAATTTTTGTATTTTTTTTTTCTTCTTTCTTCTATCTGCTGCTTTCTTTCATCATAGATTCTTGTTGGAGATCTGTTAAATTTAAATTCGAACCAAAAATTCAAAAAAATAAAAATCCAAAAATTTATTTCGGAATATTTTTATTCGAACAACAGCCATCTTCGCATCTTTAATATTTTCGTCGTTGTCGTCAAACAGGCGTTTTATATATTTAATAATAAAAATTAATATATAAAACAACAGCAACAACAACAAAATTAACAAATTTCGTCGAAATCTAAATCGAAAACATTTCAAGGTGAGTATATTTTTAGAAAATATTTTTGCTCAACTAAGAAAAAATATTCTTTCTATTCATTTCAAATTCATACATGCATCTGTGTATGAGTGCTGGTTCTAAGATAAATACACATACATCCATATAAACTTAGGTCCCCTGTATTTGTTTACAAAAAAAAAAAAAAAGAAAAGTACAGTAAAACAATGATAATCAACATACCGTACTGCACCAACTTGATTACATATAATTTTCCCAATTTAACTCCTTTTGTTTATATTTTACGTCATAGACCGGTAACCGCCTACAAATATACTTTCCTATATGTCACTCATTATCTTTTACACTTTTTACCTTAAGTAATTTCAGTTGCTCTTGAACTTATTTGTAAATTCGTCTCTTTCACCTGTTCGCAAAGCCGACGGAATTTCTCCTAAGCTTTTTTGTAGTTGTTCTCTTTTGTTTTGTAGTTTTTAAAAGAGAAAAGAGAGGATTCTCTATTTGAGGAATATATACACTTCTTAGCAGAACAATGTACAGTTTATATTTCTTGGAGATTTTAAAAATATTTTATCCTTAGAACCGGACTTATGATATGCTACGCTAAAAACTTAATGACATTTTTTAAGAATTGAAAACAAAAGATCAGAAATGATATAATTCTATAAATTATTATTTTAAAATAAGACTAATAATTTTCGGGATAAGATAAGTCTAGACTAAAGTCTAGTCTATAGACTGGACTACGAACTAGACTAGCGACTACACTATAGATATAGATATATAGACTAGACTATATGCCAGACCTATAGATCAGAATATAGACTAGATTATAAACCAGACTATAGATTAAACTATAGACTAGACTATAGATTAGACTATAGACTAGACTATAGATAAGACTATAGACTAGATTATAGACTAGACTATAGACTAGACTATAGACTAGACTATAGATAAGACTATAGACTACATTATAGACTAGACTATAGACTAGATTATAGATAAGACTATAGACTAGATTATAGATAAGACTATAGACTAGATTATAGACTAGACTATAGACAAGACTATAGACTAGACTATAGACTAGATTATAGACTAGACTATAGACTAGACTATAGACTAGATTATAGACTAGATTATAGACTAGACTATAGACTAGACTATAGACTAGACTATAGACTAGACTATAGACTAAACTATAGACTAGACTAAGACTAGACTATAGACTAGACTATAGACTAGACTATAGACTAGACTAGGGACTACACTATAGACTAGACTATAGACTAGACAATAGACTAGACTATAGACTAGACTATAGACTAGACTATAGACTAGACTATAGACTAGACTATAGACTACACTATAGACTCGACTATAGACTACACTATAGACTACACTATAGACTAGACTATAGACTACACTATAGCCTAGACTATAGACTACACTATAGACTAGACTATAGACTAAACTATAGACTAGACTATAGACAAGACTATAGACTAGACTATAGACTAGACTATAGACTAGACTATAGACTAGACTATAGACTAGACTATAGACTAGACTATAGACTAGACTATAGACTAGACTATAGACTAGACTATAGACTAGACTATAGACTAGACTATAGACTAGACTATAGACTAGACTATAGACTAGACTAAGACTAACTATAGACTAGACTATAGACTAGACTATAGACTAGACTATAGACTAGACTATAGACTAGACTATAGACTAGACTATAGACTAGACTATAGACTAGACTATAGACTAGACTATAGACTAGACTATAGACTAGACTATAGACTAGACTATAGACTAGACTATAGACTAGACTATAGACTAGACTATAGACTAGACTATAGACTAGACTATAGACTAGACTATAGACTAGACTATAGACTAGACTATAGACTAGACTATAGACTAGACTATAGACTAGACTATAGACTAGACTATAGACTAGACTATAGACTAGACTATAGACTAGACTATAGACTAGACTATAGACTAGACTATAGACTAGACTATAGACTAGACTATAGACTAGACTAGACTATAGACTAGACTATAGACTAGACTATAGACTAGACTATAGACTAGACTATAGACTAGACTAGACTATAGACTAGACTATAGACTAGACTATAGACTAGACTATAGACTAGACTATAGACTAGACTATAGACTAGACTATACTAGACTATAGACTAGACTATAGACTAGACTATAGACTAGACTATAGACTAGACTATAGACTAGACTATAGACTAGACTATAGACTAGACTATAGACTAGACTATAGACTAGACTATAGACTAGACTATAGACTAGACTATAGACTAGACTATAGACTAGACTATAGACTAGACTATAGACTAGACTATAGACTAGACTATAGACTAGACTATGACTAGACTAGACTATAGATAGACTAGACTATAGACTAGACTATAGACTAGACTATAGACTAGACTATAGACTAGACTAGACTAGACTAGATAGACTAGACTAGACTAGACTATAGACTAGACTATAGACTAGACTATAGACTAGACTATAGACTAGACTATAGACTAGACTATAGACTAGACTATAGACTAGACTATAGACTAGACTATAGACTAGACTATAGACTAGACTATAGACTAGACTATAGACTAGACTATAGACTAGACTATAGACTAGACTATAGACTAGACTATAGACTAGATACTAGACTAGACTCTAGACTATAGACTAGACTAGACTAGACTAGACTAGACTAGACTAGACTATAGACTAGACTATAGACTAGACTAGACTATAGATAGACTATAGACTAGACTATAGACTAGATAGACTAGACTAGACTATAGACTAGACTATAGACTAGACTATAGACTAGACTATAGACTAGACTATAGACTAGACTATAGACTAGACTATAGACTAGACTATAGACTAGACTATAGACTAGACTATAGACTAGACTATAGACTAGACTATAGACTAGACTATAGACTAGACTATAGACTAGACTATAGACTAGACTATAGACTAGACTATAGACTAGACTATAGGACTAGACTATAGACTAGACTATAGACTAGACTATAGACTAGACTATAGACTAGACTATAGACTAGACTATAGACTAGACTATAGACTAGACTATAGACTAGACTATAGACTAGACTATAGACTAGACTATAGACTAGACTATAGACTAGACTATAGACTAGACTATAGACTAGACTATAGACTAGACTATAGACTAGACTATAGACTAGACTATAGACTAGACTATAGACTAGACTATAGACTAGACTATAGACTAGACTATAGACTAGACTATAGACTAGACTATAGACTAGACTATAGACTAGACTATAGACTAGACTATAGACTAGACTATAGACTAGACTATAGACTAGACTATAGACTAGACTATAGACTAGACTATAGACTAGACTATAGACTAGACTATAGACTAGACTATAGACTAGACTATAGACTAGACTATAGACTAGACTATAGACTAGACTATAGACTAGACTATAGACTAGACTATAGACTAGACTATAGACTAGACTATAGACTAGACTATAGACTAGACTATAGACTAGACTATAGACTAGACTATAGACTAGACTATAGACTAGACTATAGACTAGACTATAGAAGACTATAGACTAGACTATAGACTAGACTATAGACTAGACTATAGACTAGACTATAGACTAGACTATAGACTAGACTATCGACTAGACTAGACTAGACTATAGACTAGACTATCGACTAGACTATCGACTAGACTATCGACTAGACTATCGACTAGACTATCGACTAGACTATCGACTAGACTATCGACTAGACTATCGACTAGACTATCGACTAGACTATCGACTAGACTATCGACTAGACTATCGACTAGACTATCGACTAGACTATCGACTAGACTATCGACTAGACTATCGACTAGACTATCGACTAGACTATCGACTAGACTATCGACTAGACTATCGACTAGACTATCGACTAGACTATCGACTAGACTATCGACTAGTCTATAGACTTGACTATAAACTATTAATAATTAATATTATTAATAAATTTTTTTTGTCTAATTTTGTACAATCTGTTATTAGAAATGTAAATATTAATGAACTAATCTTCAGCAGAAGTCACGGTCATGTATTTTATTTAGAACCATGACTATTTGAAACAATTATGTGCGTTAGAAAAGAGAGTGTTTGTTGCCAACCGTCTCCAAAATATATTTATTAATAAAAAAATTACGTATGTACATCGAACAATGCATTATTTATTGTCACACATGCCGAGTGCCAATGGTTGCGCCCACATTTTTTTCTTCAGTTTGACAAATTGCGAAAGTGTTTTTTGCCACTTAGCAGGGCGTTTAGATATGCTAAATTTATAATTATTTCTCAATAATACTATTAGAAAAACAAGAACGAAATACTATATAAAAGCGCTACTGTTTTATATACATACAGACACTGACAGTTGGACCGACACATTCCAATTCATTCATATATTTTTCTACTACATAAATTTTGCATAAATAAATAAAAGAACAACACTTAATGATCTTAATTTCCTACCGATGACAGAAACTATTTCAAAATTATTAATAATGAAAAAAAAAAAGAATTACAAAAGAAGAAAATAAACTTTAAGGTCGTTGAAAATATTTCAAAATATTAATTAAAATCAAGAGAGTAAAAAAATGTTTTAAACTCTCTCTTTTTCTCGCAATTTATTTAAAGGCGGCATTTCGAAATTTAAATTTTCTGCACTAAAAAATATTGAAAGTTCGAATTTCGAATTATTTTTTTTTCTCTTTTTTCAAAT